TCCTCACAGCCTTCGTCGGTGATGTTGATGCTACATCAGAATCATCTAGAAATTCTCTAATGAGTGTAGGATGAATTAAGAAGGTGATAGTTGGTATTGACCATTTAGAATATACGGTTTTTTATGAGTTTAGGATAAGTTAGGAAAGCTATAAATGATAGTTGGCATGACTTATGCATATCATCTAATTTTATATCATTTAGCATTTTTAAGATTGTTTTATATATATCATTTTCTTCTTTAAATTCGGATCTATAATTAAGCCTGCCTTATGTAATGGCTGCATAATAATCTTTTAAAATAAATCTTGTTTTGTATTTTAAGGTTTTGATTATTATTGTATCACGTTCAGAAGGTTAATAAAATTTTACTAATTTTTGTTTCCATAGACAAACTTCATTTATTGTGGGATGAGAATCTGCTCTCAGATTATCCGAGCATTCTTTATATATTGATAAAAATTTATATAACTCGCGTATGATGCTGATATCAATTGTGGCTAATCTATTTAGTTCTTACTTGCTAAACAAGTACGCCTGTATTTCAGAATATGATTTTAAGAAACTCTGCATTATGATATATACAGAGTTCCATCTCGTTATTCTCGCTGTTACATCTTGTTTAAGGGTGTGGTTTAGTTTACTATTAGCTGTAGATTGTTTGAAATATTGTACTATTTTTTTTACACCATTTATATTTAAGGCTATTTCAATTAAACAATTGTCAAAAAAATAATGCATATTATTTGTATATGGCATATACATGCTAGCGTTTCGTCATCTTTGAATGCACTTATAGATTTGCTTCGCTATCACTCACAAGTCCCAACTATACATTTTTTAAGTAATTTTCTACTTCTGAATATTCTCCTAAAATTGAATTGACTGCACTTTGAATTTTGACGTTTTTTTATCCATTGCCCTTATGGCCAAAACAAATGTTTTTAATTTAAATCCTTAATGATAATATGTCCTAAAACTTAGATTTTTATAGTCATCCGTCCAATCAGTGATTATGGACAAGTATAATTATTATAGGTCATGCTTTTAATCTTAAATTTTATTTCATGGTATATTTTTGGACCTATAGTATTCATGAGAGTTTTTCGGTTCACAACTTTTATATTTTGTTATTCATATGTAACACCAACATTTATCTCTTGGCCTAGCTTGTAAATTCTTCATTTCTGTTGAATTTAAAGATTGAAGATTTTTACAAATAAAATATAACTGACTTTTCTGTAAAATGTTTAAGCAAAATTTAGCATAAAGTCTCGCGATAAAAAACACCTAAACATAAAAAGAAAATAGAACTAACGAAATGATACCGGATGTTGTTTATAAAATGCGGAAGATTTTTAGTTTTCATAAATTATTCTTTTTTAAAAAGGAACTAAATTAAATAGGAAAATATATAAAATAATTATAAAATTTATATTTATAAATAAACAATTTTAAAATTAAAATTTCCGTGATTCAAGGGAAATTTATGTTCACGCCCGGGGAAAATTTTGGGAAGGCGCGTCACGCCTTGGAATTTAAAATTTATTCACACTCATGCCGTGACCCACCATGACACGATGGGTCACGCGTAATTTCACGGCCCGCGCCCACCTCTACTCCGAATCTCCAAGGTTTATTGAGAATCTCGAGTCTCTTTAATTCCACGTCTAATATCGTAAACCTTGATAACGCATATGCAATTACATTTTTACTTCCAGGCTTGTATTCTATTGTGAAATTATAGGAAGCCAATCTATTATTATAAATTTTAGGTAGATCTCGTTTCTCCCCAAATAATCGTCTTAATGGTTTATGATCAGTTAGAATTAAGAATTTTCTACCATAAATAAATGAATGAAAATTTTCAATTCCAAAAATTGCTGGAGCTTCCTTATCAGAGTATAGTGTTTATCCAATTCTAATAGAGCCCATGACGCGAACGAGATAGGTTTTGTCTTTCCGTCTACTAAATGATATAACACAGTCCCTATTCCTCAATCAGAAGTGTTGCATTCCAAAATTATCGACAATTATGCCTTATAAAGAATTAATGTTTCCTCGGATGCTAATAATATTTTAACCACTTCTTAGGAATTTACTCCCTTTTCCGTCCACCCCCAAGGTACTTTCAGATCTATAATATAGCACAGCCTTACTATGTATATTTCGAAAAAAACATTCATGAAAAATCACGATTCCCCCAGAAAAGATCTGTTGTTATATATTATTAGGTTTTGGTGCATTCCAGATATCCTTCATCTTTTCTGGATTAAGATATATACAGAATTTATCAATAATCTCCCCTAAAAATTGGTCAATTTTGCCTTAAGACTAGCGTCTGTAATCTGTCTAAAAAGATTTCCAAATTTTTAATTTTGTTCCTCATCGTTTTGACCATAAATAATTTGGTTATCTAAGTATGCACCGGTCATTTGACAATCTTATAACTCATCCATATATATCTATGGAATATATTAGATGCACTTGCCAATACAAAAGGCCCGCGATAACGAAAATACCCCTTATGGGTCGCTATCGTTAGAAACTATTGAGACTTCGATTATAGTTACAACTCTATGAAACCTTCAAATCACGGTAAATTTATCACCACCTTGGATTTTTTCGGACAAATTGTCAAGATAGAAATAACATGATGGTCATTATTCGCGAAATTAACTCTATTTAAGGCGAATTTCCTATTATTTAAGTATTTAAGGTTATATAACAACATTTAAGGTCATCGCCATTACTAAGGTATCATGTTTAATCATCTAGAATATTCTTTTTTTTATAAATAACATAATAAATAGTAATTTATTATAGAGATAACATATGAGAACACCATCCCCTATTTAGGCAGTCTGCAGTTAACCGTGCAGACAAGAGGCAAAGCCACTTACTTTAACGCCCACAAGAAATAAAAAAATAGGCAAAGCCCATGCCCGATTATATAAAAGTAATGGTTATGGAAAGGTATTGGCAAGGTTAAAATTAACTTCTCCTATCATTGTGATTGCTGAAAAAAATAAAATCTGAAACAAAATATTTATAATAATACAAATACAAGGCGATCGATTATAAATTAATTTCAATGTTTTCTATTTCATAATGTATGGACGCCATTTTTATTTTAATTTTCTCGAAATATTTTAAATTTGCGCATAAATATCATATGATTCAAAATGACATATATATCGTATCCTCTTTTCTATATTAATTTCAGCATTATCCTGCTATATATCATTTGGTGATTAACATGCTGTATTTATTATTAAATATACGAGTTGCATATCACGAATAAATGTAAAATACCATTGACGATGATTATTGTTGATATTGAGATAATAGTTAAGAATATTAATGGAAATGTATATAAATAAAAATAATACACCTAGTTTTGGATAATTAAATACATTAAATTTATTATGATATTTTTATTAATTGAAATTGTTGATTAAACTTAATATAATATGAATACAATTAACTTAGAATCCTACAAAAGTGAAATAGATATTAAGTCATGCTTAGTTCATGTAGAGGAGATTTTTAGGTTAAGATAATCGAGGTTGATAAGCTTAGTTTTATTGGCTTATTTTGGCCTTGAGAGATTAGGTGAATCATAATGCTTTATTCTATAATCGAATGAAGTTTATTAGATGGAAACAACGGCCAAATGAATAACTAATACAATTTCCTAGTAGACCTAAATAGTTATGTCAACTTTGTCAGAAATAAATTGATCATCCAAAAGTAGAATATTTGGAGTCGGTTTTCTGAGGATAAAAGCATAGACCCATCAAATACGTTTATCCAAATATTATGGCTGATCACGATATAATAAAAAAAACAAGGGGAAATAAATAATTGGTTCAATAAACAAAATAATCTGAATAGGAGAAACAAGAGTGGTATGATAATTATAAGTGTAAAGAAACGAGATGTACAAAATATAATTTCTACAATGGAGAAAATGATAAATGTCCATCCAAATTTGTGAGTCATGAGTGTGTGAGAGAAGGTCCTTATGCTCGTTGTTGCAACAGCATCGAGGTTGAACTTTACTAAATAGAGACAACTATAGCAATTGCAGTATGAACAGAAATGATAATAATATGAGAGAAGGGTATCAGCAGGGATATAACAACAATAATGACCTGGATAATTACCAGACTCGATATACCAGGTATTAAGAGAAAAGATGAATAGGACCAAGATAACAGCGAGAATCAATAATACGTGGCTTAATTGAGGTCAGTATCTACATGAGGGGGAAGTGGGAGATTTATTTGTATCAAATCTTTCTTGAGGGGGCAGGGGGTAGATGTAGCGTCTACATGAGCGAGGGAGAGGGGGGGGGGGGTAGAAACAGTTTACATAGATATCTCAGAAAAGTACGAAAAGATATCAGTGCCTTTTCACCGATTACCTTTCAGCCTGTTAAAAGTGGGTTACCAGAAATAAATACTAGTAATGAGTACAATAATGTAACACTAAGGGAAACCAAAAATGAGGGAAATAATGCCCTAGTAATAATGTGTTTTTGATGCCGAAATATAGGTCACTATGAGAGATAGTGTTGTTAAACGGCTCGTTTTGAGTCGATTTTTATAAGTGGCTAACCCAATATTTTATCCAGAAAAATATTACGCAAGCCTGAAGATTTTGCTCATAGAAGGAACAAAGATCTAGCTAGACATATATTATTGAAATCTCGAGGCTTATGCTATATTTTTCTGGCTAAAATATTGAGTTAGCCGTTTTCAAAATCGGATCAAAATGAGCCGTTTAACAACACTAATGCGAGAGATTGTCCTGACTTTTTTATACTTATATAATCAATAATCATTTTTTTTTATAAATATATCATTTTTGCCACTATGACCACTTATATCTACAAAAATATAAACGAGGCTAAAAATTGGTTATTTGTTAGTTATTTTTGCTTACCAAATTTAAAAAATCAATAATTGTAAAAAAATATATTTTCTAGTTTTTTTTTATTATAGATTATTATCGCGAGAAAACAAATAATAGATTAAAAGAAATCATTTTTATTTTAGCTTAGCCACAAAGCTATCAATATCAAATTCATTATCGTATTGACATTCATCACCCCACAATGATTCCAACTCTTTCAAAAATAGGTGTAACCCTACCTTCTTTTTCTTGCGATCGATAGCACTACCTTCACCAAAATTCATTTGCTCACTTATTACATGGCTGCTTTCGCCAAATGAAGCTTTTTGGGAGATGTTACTATTTGCCGGGCTAGGTGAATTAGAAGAGGGGTTGCCAAATTTTGTAGCAAAAAAGTCCAAAATATCTGTGGAAGACTTGCGAATCATTCGGTAATCTGAGTTTTCTTTGTTCACTATAGAATTTGCGACAGCCATTTTAAACTTTTGTAATCTTTATAAAAAGGGTTATTTTTTTAAAAATATTTACAAATTATATTTTTCGTATAAATTAGTTATTTTATATATAAGTGGGTTATAAATTCACGTAAAACAAAAAAATAATTTTTTTACCCCAAAATTTTTTCTTCGAACGTGTCTTTGGTAATCAGGCGATATACGTTAACCACTTTTGTCTGCCCTATTCTATGGGCCCGATCCATAGCCTATTTTTAATAAGTACAAAATATTTCACATAAAAATTTCTAAACCAATAAAAAAGATTATGTATTTATGGTATCGATGATAATTAGCTGATACCGCGTTTAAATGGTGGTATCGATACATCTTTGGATATTAAGGCAAAAAAAATTGGTATAGAAGCTATAATAGTTTGCCATATTTACGCGAATTGTAAGAGAAAATTCGTGATTTACGTATATTGAAGATGACCGCGATTCTCTCATAGAAATAAGAATAAAGCCATACATTAGTGGCTTTCAATCAATTTTTATACATGACATAAATATTTTGGTATATATTTAATTAGTTGAATCGATCAATAGACATTTTGTAATAGAAGAAAATATGATAAAAACTTGCAAATCTTTCATGGGATTCCAATCATGTTCGTAAAATATAACGACATCGGCCGCCGTCAAATTAAGACCCAGACCACCTATTTTAGTAGTCAGAAGTAAGACTTTGATACATTTAGCGTCGTTTTCTTCAAAGGTAAAAGGATCACGATTAAAATCTTTGACAATTTTATGTCTATCTTCCAAGGATACTGTTCCATCCAAAGTAGAGTAAGGCACGGAATACTTTTGCAAACAGCGGCTCACAAGTTTGAGCGTATCGATGAATTGGAAAAATATGAGAACTTTGTGCCAGCTACCATCGTAACCCTCCGCCGCATTTTTTTTCGATACTTCTTCATTGAGATTGGTGTCCGATGAATAAATTATTTGGCATTCCTAGGTAAAATTGTTTTTTTTATGTAAAGTAAGTTTAACAACTGACGTTAACGATATAATCTAAGAATTCGTTAATATTAATAAAAAGATAAAAATGATAACATCAATCAACTGTAAAGAGGCACATGTCAACATGAATGCAGCCTTAGTCTCGAATAATTGATTCAGAAAAATAAAACATACACATTTAACTTAGAAATGATTTTGATGTCTAAGACCACGTTTTTTTTTTGAATAACAATCTAAGTAACAGAAACAATAAATGTAATTGGCACATTAATTGTTTTATATAGTATTGGAAAAAGGCCGATTTTTAAAAATGAGTCGATTAAGACAAGGATAAATATAATATTATGTAAGCCTGAAGATTTTGCTTATAGATGACAGAAATATTGGGCATCTATTTTTAAAATTTAAACATTTACATATTATTTTGGCTAAAATCTTAATCAGGTCCAGTGGAGTAGGCAAGAGGGAGGTCGAGGTTCAGCTATTCCATGAATAAAATTAAATTTTTTAAAAAATTAATTTAATTTACTACTAATCATGCATAAAATATTGTTCATTGCTTCAATAATTTTCCTTCTAGCATGTGATGCCAATTTGGTGATTTTTTATTTTGATAAAAATGTTTTTTTTAAAACTATTTATCAAACGGGTTGAAGGAGTAAAGAAGTATGAAATACGCACCAATTATTGATATAAATTTTCGAGTTAATGCCTCCAGATGTTTGGTAAACTTTACGCTTAAAACGTGATATCATAGTTAGTATTTGGTTCATAATTAGGTTTCTTTTTTAAAGGCTGCGGAAATTGATTAAAGAATATAAGGACTAAATATTAAAGCAAACCAGATAGTTAGAACTTCTATATTCTCCGTTCTATGCTAATTTTAACAATTTTTTTACCAATAATTCAATAATAAAATATGCTAATATCCTACTTAATGGTTTAGTATAAGTTTCAGAATTAGTGTTTCCAAAAGCTAGGCTCATCTCATGCTTAGAGTGTGATGTCATAGTTTTTATTTTGTTTATAACTCATTTTCTTTTAATGGTTCTCATATTTGAGTGAGGGATTGAGAGTTCTAGTCTTAAAAATTAGCGCACGCCAGATATATAGTTTTTATATTTTCCATTTTAGCACGATATCTATTGCAATTTTCTTTTTTTCTTTATACTATCTACCAAACGGATTGAATTAATTAATCATGATCTAAACATTGATAAAATTTGCTGAATATGCTTTCAGTCACTTTCTAACCTTAGAGTTGGCCAAAATTTTGTTAACTAATAACTTTTTCCTTTATATTGGCTACTATACTGGTTAAAGTCAGACATTAGTAAAGCACAAACAATTGCTATATATTTTAGAATTAGGACTTGTTCAGCCAAGTTTAATGGAGAATATAAAAATAATTCCGAAAAATCAATAATATATAAGAATTTTTTGTAGTAGGGAATCGACCGAAACTCGGGCACCAAAAAATTGTTTAAACACCCCCCCCCCTCCCCATTAGAAAATCCTAGCTACATCACCGATTGAGCGGTTTTTAAAAATCAACCCAAATCGGGTATTTTAACAATGCTTTTATTATTGGGAAGAAGCATCAAACGTAATAGTAGTATCAATATAAAGAGACAGAACGTAGGTATCGAAGGATATGGAGAAGAGGGCGTAGGTTGTATTACTTGGTTAAATTTGATTCTATTAAATACCACAGAAATTTCGAATGCGTAGTGATAATGACTTTAAAAATTGTCATACACCTTCAGATACCCGAAGTGCGTGTGCTACAAAATGCCGGATATGTCGGAAGAAAGAGCAGTTAATGCATGAGTGTTGAAATACTAAATTTTTTCAATATGTCCACATCTTCTCCCTTCATGGCTTCCAAGTCCCAATTTTTCGTGAAAATATTCTGCTCTTTTATTTTACGAGTCGTGCTTCCTTCTCGAACAGCTAATCTATCACTTGAGCCAACACTGTCAGCTCTACTGTCGACCAGGTAGTCCCACCAATCACCTGACTCCTTGGTCTGTTGTTACACCTCCGTTCCCTGTAAACAGGTCTTCTCACGTTCCATCCCGAAGATTCCTTACATTGGAGGGGGGAGGCCCAACTTGTATAATCCCGTGTCCTGCATATGTAGCAACTCGTGATATTACGTTCCCTTCCATCCTCTTGCACATTTCACACTTTCCATTGTTGTTCTGCTACCATTCGTTTGTTATATCTTCCAGCCTAACGAAGGTTAATTATCTTTAACTTCATACATGAGTAATCCGTAAAGTAATAACGTCATTAGATATACAATATAATATAATTTGTGCATTATTTGTATTATTGATTTGGACATGTAGTTTATTATTAGGAGAAAGCATGAAGCGAAAATGGAGAATGATGCAGGAATGTGTGACCTAATAAATATAACCCGGGTCTATCAGACATGGTAAACATGATAATGTTGCTATTCTGGATTTTGAATTTTAGTATAGATGTTGAAGCATCTGCAAATATCAAAGTTAGAGATGATGAACCCCTAGAAAGGTCAGCGAATGGGAAATAAAACAAATAAAGCAATAATGTTAGTGAAGGCAAAGTATGGCCTAGGGCACCAATGAAAGGCCAGGAAACGGAAGGATGGAAGACAGAAGCAATAACATAAAGTATCTATATATGAAGGTTGCAAGATCATATACAAGTATGCCAGAAAAGGATGCAAGGAATGGTTGTATAAATGGCAAATCTGAGGGGATGGGGGCTCACCAATCTATAAGGAACAAATGCGAGAATAGATTAGTCTAAGATTGGCAGGGCCTACAGGCCGATGAATAGGCTAGAGCCATCAGTGTTGGCTCATGAGTTAGATTAGTTGTGTGAAAAGGAGGTGCGATCCAGGGAATAAGTTATCAGAGGATTCTTTGGGAAATGCAAACCATAAAGAGGGAAGATATCATATTCATTTGAATATGTTTATTTATTTTTCGCCGTTTCATTAATTCGTTAAATATAAATTTAGCAATCAAGAGATAAACTAGAATAAAAAATCAATATCAAGCTGAATTATTTTTGGGAAGAGATAAGGTTTTTTTTATAAGATATGTAATTGTGTAGGGAAGGGTTGAAAGAATATTTTAAAAAAAGCCAAAGGGAAGTCGAAGGGAGAATTGGGAATGTTGTTATTATATGGAAGAAAGTTTTATTTGTTCACTTGATTCATATTTGTAAGGAAGTACATTAAAAAAATGTATAAAAGGATACGGGAAATTTCAATTAAAAATTATCAAGATGTGATTGCTTGAAAATGGAGAAAGAAAGTTGCAATACGTTATTTTAATTTCAGATAATTTTTGCAAAAAATATTGTGAGTGGGTCTACTATTGTCGCTAGACTATATCCATTCGCCTGTTGAAGACCCTCCCTGACCCATCCTACTATATTGTCGTGCCCGGATTAGTGAAACCAGCTTAGTCCTTTCTTCATCCCGTTTTGCAAATTTCCATTAAATACGACAAAAATATCATAAGGAAAAAGGTCCCAGAAAAAGAATATCTAAAATTTCCTCAATTTAGATATACGATGAAGGACAAAATCTTGGAGACCATATCGAACAAAGACTATGTCCTTATCAACTCTCAGACCACCGGCCACACCGTGGGATCATTGCAACAAGGCAATAAATGAATAAAAATTATTTTCGCAATAGTTTTTATATTCGGAACCCGTACCTACATTTGTATTCCAAACTATAGTTTGAAATTAGATAAATTTAAGGGAAAAATTTTAAAAAACTTTTAGCAACTGTACGAGGGCCATGAGCTTTCCCGACACCCCAGGGTCATTCATAATCATTTGCAAAGACCGGTTTAGGTCGAAGTGGCCTTTAAAACTTCCTTCTGTCCCACCTTCAATTGCTGTGTCATCGGCGCCATCAAAACTTATAGACTCGTTTATGGTATGATATTTTCGAAGTAACCATAATAATTTGCCATTTTCCTCGGGTATATTTGTATCCAATTTAAGAAGCACAAAACCCGGATGATTACAAATTTTTCTCATGTAGTTCAGAGCTTCAAAGGCGTGGATTGGTTTGGTAATATTGGTTTTATCTAGTGATGAAGACGAATTGTGCTCACTGGGCGTTTTAATCGCCCTAAGGTTAATGAAATCATCGATGAGTTCAAGCTGAAGCCAGGTCATAGGGCAATAATAATCTTGGATGATTTTCGGGGGTAGGTCTGAAAGAACTTGTTCTTTGGTTCTTCGTAGTATGAAGGGCAAAATCAGTTTGTGCAAGCTTTCTAGGGCAGTGATACCTGAAATAAGAGAGGTTAGAGGAATGTAGTTTTAAATAAATAAATTAATATTATTGGTATATAAATTCGAGATCAACATGAGCCAATTCGACGCATTTTTTTAAAAAGTTATTGGCCTGGCCTGTAAAAAAATTTATGCAGATCTTTAATATAATTTTCATTCAATACCAGTATTGTTAAAAAAAACTCAAGATTTTAGCCAAAAACCTTTCTGACATACTTTATACTTTTGGCAAGAATCATGAATTAGCCATTTTAAAAAAAAATCGGTTGTTCTTAGTACATAATATACACAAAAATATTGTATAATACCGGCTTCTTGTTCCTTTGAAGAATTTTTTGCATCTCTGCTCTGGAGAATGGGCTTACCGAATGTGTTGTTGAACTCCTTTTCCGTTCCGAGATACCCAGGCATTAGAAAATCGAAAAGGCTCCAGAGCTCTAGTACGTTATTTTGGACTGGCGTACCACTCAGGATTAATCTTAATAAAAAATTATTTTTAATATGTGCATTAGATATGCATCTCGGGTCGTGGAGTTGAGATAAAATTTTTGCTTAAAAATTATAACCAGTAAAATCGTAATTTTTATCTTCTAAATTCGTGATTCACGATTTAAATGAATGAATCACGAATGGAGTAAAATTATATAAGTTTGGATAGAGAATTTATTTATTAATTTTTTTAGAGAGGTTTTCTGCTATTGATTCTCTAAAAAATAGTATATATGTCGTAATTTTTAAAGGGATCATGACTATCCGGGATTTTCACGGGATTTAAAGGGATCCCTTTAAAATTTCAATTTTTTAAGGATAAAGAACTATACGGTATTATCACTGGGGCAGAGATTGACCTCCAGTTGAATAAATCTTTTGATTAGCTATCGAATGATACCCTATACTAGACATATCTTATATCATAAGGCCAAAAAAAACAAAATTGAAAATTAAAAACGCAACGAAACTCGTGGAAAACGCTTTTAATATAAGATTTCTCTTTATCACGTTTAAAACGTGATAATCCCGTATTATCATTCCTTAATTATCAACCCTAATTTTTTAGTTATCCCTTTAAATCCCGTGAAGATCCCGGATAATCATGATCCCTTTAAAAATTACGACATATACATTGTTATATCATGATTTTGTAAATTTATTATACATGTCATGTCATTCTATTACAAATCACAAGTTACAAAATACACTATTTAAAACATCTTTCAAATTAAATGAAATTTTGTTAAGTGGTTAGATATGTCGTGAGGATTATTGCGTTTAAAATTTTATTGCTTTAGTTCTATTAGATCCCAAGTTTTATAAGTTTATTCGCCTTTATGAGATTAGAAAAAAATTGTAATTTATTATATATTCATTCTCTTTGTATTAAAAAAAAATATTTAAAAATGGAAACATATTTTAAAAAAGGAATGTTTTAGATAGGACAGACAAAACACAATTTCAAGAAATTGAATCTTTCATAAAATCTTTAAAAAAAGTAGTATGGCATTGGAAATCGACCAAAATAACGTGATTTTCGGTTTCGAATTTTTCAAATAGATGAAATTATGAGGTTAAATAGATTGTATATTTTACATAAATCAAAATTTTAATGCTCTAATTTAAATGTATCTCGAGTTATGGACCTACATAGTTCGATGAGAGATTTTTCCTCTTTTAACGAATATCGAATTACTCAAAATATTTTTGGTGTAAAGTAACAAATTAAATATCATTTTGTAGCCCTCAAAATTCTCCTCAGAAAATGACAAATAATTTACAAAATATCTTCAGTATCGTTGTATTTCCCATAAAACAAAAAAAATATTATTTTGAAAAGTGCCCCATTTAAAACGATGAAACTCACGAAAAATGTTTATTGTCATTATATTTACATGTTTAAAGTAAAAATATCAATGGAGAAAACAAGAATTTAAATTTCATTTAGTTTTTTATAATTTTAGGAATAAAAAAATCAATAATAAAGGGCGTTTGAAGCGATGAAACTCATCAAATATGTCTATTATCAATATATTTAAATATTAAAGTAATTAATGGAGAAATTAAGAATTAAAATTTTATTTAGTTTTTCATCATTTTAAAACGCTACTTTTAAAGATAATTATAATATATTTTTTTAAAATAAAATTCATTATATATCATAAATAACCCTGAAAATTTTCTATAAGATTATTATGTACACTAGAATTTAAAAATATGGTTTTTTATATCTTAATAAAAAGAAAATAAATTATTAGGTTTTTTTATTCCAAAAATTATAAAAACTAAATAAAATTTTAATTCTTAATTTTCCAATTAATATTTATATTTAAATATATTGGTAATAAACATATTTGTTGAGTTTCATCGTTTCAAACGCCCTTTATTAATGATTTTTTTATTCTTAAAATTATAATTATCAAATAAACTTTAATTTCGTATTTTTTCCTTAATATTTTTACTTAACTATGTAAATATATTGGCAATAAACATATTTCATGAGTTTCATTGTTTTAAATGGGGAACTTTTCAAAATAATATTTTTTTGCTGGAACAACGACATTGAAGATTTTAAAATAATTTTTACATTTTCTTAGGGAAAATTTTTTCAGTGACAAATTTTTAAAATTAAAAAAAAAAAAATTTGAAGATAATTTTTTTTTTAATTTATGAGGGTATTATCATTTTCAGATATCGAGCACCAATATCGACAAAAATTGAAAGTATCCAGTTGAGGTCTGTGCTGACCAACACATCCGTATCGGAGCAATTCAAATAATATCAAAAGGTACTGACTCGATTCTTATTAGGGAATGACATCAAAAAATTTAACATTTTTAGTTATCTACAATGATTTTTAATTTTGGCATTACTGCACACTTTATATGATTATAATAAAAATTATATTGGAAAAATTGTTTCTGTAAAATATTTGGCTATTTTATTAATTTTTAGATGGATTTATAATCTTTGTAACCATTCTCCTGGTGCATTTCGCAAATTAAAGCCTTACCCACTACCTAAAAAAAGAGAAGCACACTAATAATATTTAAGAATTATTATAAAATTTTAAAGTTATATATTTTTTTAAATTTTATTTATTAAATAACTAACCTATGCCTAGCTGGAATATTCTTAACGATTTTAGCTAGCTTAGTTTTGCTATTTTTGATGACGTGACCTTCGTCCAATACCAAATGGGTGAAACCTCCGCTAAATCCGACATCATCAAATAGTTTGGAAAAAATGTAGCCATTTTTTCTTATCAACTCGTAGCTGCAAACGCAAAGCACGTGATTAAATGAAATAAATTTATCGCTATTGGTTATTATGGCTTTAACAGTCTTTAAGGCAGTCTCGTCATTGAGATCAACAAAAGCAAAAGGCTTTAACATATGTCCAGGAATAAATTTTTCAACTTCTTCTATCCAATAGTAAACGAGAGTCTGAGGACAAAGAACTAAAGATATTTTCGGAGATTCGATATTTTCTTTTTCATGATTATATATGTCAATGCCAGTTTTGCAATATACATGAGTATCAGTTGTTGATTGATGTGCACGGTCTTTTAACACTAAACCACATATAGCTTGCAGAGTTTTACCTTTTTTATATTTAAAAATGTTATAATTATTAAATTTACGATTTTTTTTTGTTTTATTCATATTCACCATTTCTCACTTCCTGCATCTTTTGGCTATCACTTCTACACTAATGTGAAGAACAACTTTAAAATACCCTTTTATTTTATCGTTCTCGAATAATAATTTTAAGTAATAAAAACTATAGTGTAGGAAAAATACCCAGACCCATGTCATCGCACAGGATACCGTGAAGTTTGTAACGTTTGAGAAAGGCTAACCAATTTACACCATGGAGCTGGTAATGTCTTAATTCGATACCCGGTTTGAGATCGATTAATTCGCTTAGGTTTTGATCGTTAATTTGATCCAACTGGCCGGATAGTAAATGGGTCAAAAACATTTTTCCTCTGTCGAAAGCAGCGAGTAAATTGACATTGCTTTTGAAGGCAGTATTGGTTGATGTTGACGTCGAAGAATTTAGTACCTAGTTTTTTTTGGGTAGTTTAGAATTTTGTGCATAAGTTAAACTACAGAAGATACAAAACATCAAAATTGATATTCAACTAATGTTATGTCTAACAATTACGTTCAAGGATATGTATTTGATGATTGAAATAAAACAATGAGATGCGCCTTTCCTCACATCCTCGTTTGAGTCTGTCATCAATCCCAAGCAAGGAAGAGCAAATATAATAGTGTAAGGTAACATTATTGAGAAGTGGATTTCTTAAATATAAATTTTAGTTACCAATTAATGTAGTAAATAAGTATATAATATAAGTGTTTCATAATTTAATAAATATTTTTTCGTTCAGGAAGAATACTAAGAATCAAGGTTGATGAAATATTTTTTTCATATATTTTATACATCTCATTAGATTAAATCACATACCACTCAATTCCTCAAGTTATTTTTACCTAATTTTTCAAGTAAAATAGGAATTGTATCTTGTAATATATTTTGTTATAACTTTTAATTTTTATTATAATTAAGGAATACATGAATTATAAATAAAATTATATTTGGCTGAGATTTGGGCCAATTAATTTATATGAAGTGATAGGGCTGACATGATTCTACCTGTATTGGTAAGCGTGGCAGGTTCAGTTATATTATTTCTTTTTTTATTTTTTTATCTGAAATTACATATTGATCTTCTTTTCCTTTTCCACAATATATGGTAAATTTCTTACATTAATTTGAATATTAAAAGTAAAATATAACAAAAGTAAAACATAGGAAAATAAACGCCTTGGCTGTAATGCAGTTATACCCTACTATTGCATCGATTGTGGCCTACTCGAATGTCTATTCACTCGCGAACGACAACCCCGCCATAAATCTATCAACAACATTCTCATAGCTGCCCCAAAAAAATTAATATCCCACCTATCTTTGAACCAGTGAGCCTTTTAAATGAAAACGCCATATGCCCTGATGGTATATCCCTCATTCCCTGGACAAACGGTCTCTCGTTGACCTGTGACTATACTTTGGTCGATTTTACATAAAAAACAAGTATGCTAGCCTTACCAACACAGTGTTCATACCAAGTTACCAATACCTTTGGCATGTTCGGAATATAGAAAAAATGAGATAGATCAAAGGGGACCCCAGCGAAGGATTCTACCTTCGTCAGCAGATTTCTCTCGAAATCTGACGGTCCAATTTTTTGAGCATTCACTCCTCTCTATAAAAATTTTTATACTTCTAAATATTTTTCTATATAAAATATTTTTTTTATATTCTTATTTGTTTTTTTTTAAATATATTTTTAATTTGATATTTTTCATATTTATATTTAATTTTTTTAATTGAAACCGTTTTATTAAAAATAAAAAATTTACTGTAAAAGGGGGGATACTTTTTACCAGATGTTATAACCAAATAACATGATCTTATTATATTATTCTTTTTGTCATACTTAAACATTGAATTTTTATACAAATACTGAACAATTTTTTATAAAAATGCCACACATAAAGTATTATATACTTTCACATAATGCTAATAGCTCTCCTTCATTCCCAATTATTTCAAATGAAAATCTTGCCTATCTCAGATAAGAATGAGATGCAAAATTACCACTCATCTTCAATCATTTCCACAAATAATAATTCTTTGTTTATCATAGATGAAAATATAAATCTACAAGCTTCCTCGATTATTACAAAACTCAAAAGAACATACCATTGTTGGAATAAAGTTTAGATTGAGATGATAATGAAAATTTTAGCGATGCCAGAGGAGGAACAAATAAAGATTAGACATCGATAATATGTTAATATGTCGAAGGTATCTTTTCACAAAATAAAACGAGATACATTCACAGGAATTATTGGCCAGTCTTAAAAAGAATCCACCATTAAACAAGAAGGAGAAAAATCAACGACAAATCATGGATATGTTAATGGTTCAATACCTTTACAGTTAAAAAAAATTATTAGAAATTTCCTTTTCGGTTCGTTAAAAAAATATAGGAACCATAAGAAAATACATTAAAAGGTTCGAAAAAAAAGAGCTGGCAAGGAACCTTATAACAGGAATACACCAGGAATCAATATTCGGCAGGTGCATTGCCTAAGACTACTAAATATCCTCAGAGAAAAATCATATTTTCTAGACGAAACAAGTAGTTGCACCCATCTATGCCTGAGCACTACTCAATGTGAGGCCAACAATAATGGTTACACCCACAAAAGGAAAAAACGTAAGTGTACTTTTTACCATAGGAATTGGTGGAGTTATACATTATAAAATCATTGAAGGATCATATAATTGTTAAGGGAGCAAGCTATTAAGCCTAGCACTAAAGGAAGATAATGGCGCAATATACGAATAATAAGGAGTTGAATAAATAAATATTAAAAAAAGTTGATTGACTTTTGATAAATAAAATAATAAATAAACGGGATGATTATGTAAAAAAATAAATATATAAGAGCGAAAAAAAAGAAACGATTATTATTATTTTTATGTACGATTTCATATTTTAAAGAAAGAAAAATAAAGAAATAAAATTATCGATTTTCGTGTTTCAAGAGAAAAGAAATATTGAAGTAAAAAAAAAAGTGTTGTTTTGATATTTAAAGAGTGTTGTTTTGATTTTGATATTGGTGACCCCGACGTGATCCGGGAAAAAGAGTATTTTTAAAATTGGAAAACATAGTAGGAGGTTTTAAAAGAATCAGAAAACCAGTATTTTTAAAATTGGAAAACATAGTAGAAGGTTTTAAAAGAATCATAAAACCAGTATTTTTAAAATTAGAAAACATAGTAGAAGGTTTTAAAAGAATCAGAAAACCAGCATTTTTAAAATTAGAAAACATAGTAGAGTTTTAAAAGAATCAGAAAACCAGTATTTTTAAAATTGGAACATAGTAGAAGGTTTTAAAAGAATCAGAAAACCAGTATTGTTAAAATTAGAAAACATAGAACCAGATTTTTTAAAAATAAAGAAAACGTTTGTAGTAGAAAGTTTTAGATAAAAGATAGAAAACCAGTGTAAAAAAAAAAGTAAAAAAAGGTTTAAAAAAAAGGAAAACCGGATTAATAAACTTCTTGTACGGCATACAAGCAAGATATATGTATAGTTGCATCTTTAATTTGTTTACAATTTTAATAGTATTTTATTTATTAACGTTGCAAATAGTTAAACTCTTTATATTAAAAGTATTAGTTAATTTTTTGTAGAGAGATGAAAACTTTTAAATTTATAAAGTGTTTGGAATTACAATATAATATTGTGGGAGCATTAGTCATATTAGTGATTTGGATGTGTAGTTTGATTAAGGGAAGAAGAGTTAAAACGTAGCGTGAGAATAAAGGGCCAGACATTAACAATAGATGGGCATAATGGAGAGGAGGATGTTATGGGAAAGGTAACATAGTTGCCAGTTCAAGAATTAATTAATGGATGGACAGAGAGTGAGGTAGATAAATTAATAAGTAAACCTGATGGGAGAGATGCATATAATGATAACAGATTGGGACCTTATAGGGGACCAACGGAGAATTCTCAGGGACAGAGAGGGGAAATAAGATCCAGTTTTGATTCTAGAGTGAGGGGAAGAATGAATTGTTATAATTGTGGAAGACAAGGACATATGGTCAGAGATTGTAGGGAGGCAAAGTGTTCGAATGTGGTAGATTTGGTCATATAGCCCCTTATTGTCCAGAAAAACAAGAGAAATTACGATGTGCGGGTTGCGGAAGATTTGGTCACAATAAGGAAGAATGTAATACGGGAAATAAAAATACTCGAGGAGGTTTTCCCCAGAGAGTAATTGGACCAAATACTTCAACTGTGCGAACCATCGAGGATGCCAGAGTTGGGGGAAGAGGAGTATTTCTGGAGGGAGTTGAAGATCAAACCGTGGAATGAGAAAGGGGACATGTGGCAAGGGATTGTGCTAATTTGTGACTATTTGATGGTAAAAAAAATGATACACGGGGCCAAGAGAGTGGGTTATTGGAAACAAACAAAATATATTCACGAGGACAAAGAAATATAATTGGGAATGTAAGGATGATACAAGACGAGGTAATAGATGATCCTTGTCCTAGAGTAATAATAGACTTCAATGGGAATAGGGTACCTATGCTATTTGACACGGGAGCAGCTATTTCAGTAATGAGTTATGCGAGATATAGGAGTATTTGGCCCGATGGAATGATAGCAAATGAAGGCTTGAAAATACGACAATTTGATGGGTTGCAAATAACAGTAATGGGAAGAATGGAAATAGAGGCAATGACGGAAGGAGGGATAGAGGTGGATAATCAAAATGGATCAGAATAATGCTCCAGGTTTGCGTAGAAGTTAAATCTGTGGGAATTATGAAGTGCTACTCATGGTGCGGCCCCATAGGACCGAGGGCAGGGGTCGGGGAATGATAAGACGAAATATGGAGGATGGAAGACGGTCTATCGCTGCCAGGAACGCGGGCATATTCAATATAGATGCCCATAGAATCGGGAGAGAAGGGCAGACGGTAATCGGACGGAGCAAGCTCGAGCAAGGGTGGAGGAGGTACCAGCGAGGCAGATAGCGGCGATTGTGGGGGCTCGGACGGAGCAAGTAAGAAGCGGTGAATCGAGGCCGGTCGCAGAAATTATGAGAACGAGGAGATGAAGAAGAGGGAAGCGGTGAAACAAGGCACATCGCAGAAATTCTGGGAACGAGGAGAGATGAAGAAGAGGAGCAGCGTGAACATCGTCCAAGAACAGCTAGCGTGGAATGACCCATAGTTGATTTAACAGTCGAGAGTGAGGGCACAAACGAGAGGACGGCGGGAAACGGTAAGGGGAGAGGATATCGCGGCGGCCGAGCGTATAGGAACTAGTCAAGTAGTGATGGGAAACGAAGAATGGAGGGATCTAGTGGCAGTTTTGGACAATGTTGATGAGCTTGGAGGCTGGTTGGATGTCATGGTAGAAGATTCGGAATGGGGCAACCTCTGGGAGGAGGAGGCGGAGGATCGTCTTTTCTGAAGGGGGCGTGTTAAGGAAGCAAGCTATTAAGCCTAGCACTAAAGGAAGATAATGGCGCAATATACGAATAATAAGGAGTTGAATAAATAAATATTAAAAAAAAGTTAATTGACTTTTGATAAATAAAATAATAAATAAACGGGATGATTTTGTAAAAAAATAAATATATAAGAGAGAAAAAAAAAAGAAACGATTATTATTATTTTTATGTACGATTTCATATTTTAAGGAA